CTGAATCTTTCTTTCGAACTACAGAGTAGCCGTGACAGTGGAGGTTCAGGCAAAAAGGATGTGATTGAGCTGACGGATGATACCTTTGATAACAATGTCCTGAACAGCGAGGATGTCTGGCTGGTAGAGTTTTATGCTCCTTGGTGCGGACATTGCAAAAAGTAAGTAGTGCCATTGGCTGCAGATTTCATTTTAATTTCAGTCCTGCCTTCAACTTTAAGGCTTCAAGGATGATTCTTGTGTTTTCATCCGAATGTGTCATTACCATTTACTGCTGTTGTTGTTTTGGTGGGAGGAAAGCGCACACACCTGTGTACTCGATTCTTTTCCCACAGCTTGGAGCCAGAGTGGGCAGCAGCCGCAACTGAAGTGAAGGAGCAGACAAATGGAAAAGTTAAGTTGGCTGCTGTCGACGCAACAGTGAACCAGGTGTTAGCGAGTCGATATGGAGTAAGTAACTGCAGCAAGCAGTAATGCTGCCCTATTTGTTTGTTTGTTTGTTTATTTATTCGATTTATATCCCACCCATCTGGTATATTCTACCACTCTTCCATGTTCTGCCTCCATTTGAGACTGAGAGAAGGTGTTAATTTTAAGACTAAAGTGTATTTTTGAATTAATTATTTTGACTACAGTAGGACCTCCATATCCACTGGCGATTGGTTCCAAGTGGATGTTTAAATTGTGGATAATAGTGAACACTAGAGAGAGAGAGAGAGAGAGAGAGAGAGAGAGAGAGAGAGCATGCCAGGTAAAAAGAAAAAAAACAGGATTTTTTTAACGTGCATTACCAAAACTGCCGAGTGAGTATGCCAGAGATCATGCTGTGTAATCTTCACTAACACTTTTTCATATCATGGCCTCTAGCTCACTCTAGTGGCTGGTTCTGGTAATACATGTGGAAAATTTTTTTTTTCTTTTTAAAAATTTTTTAACTTTTTAAAGACGGTGGACAGGTGAACTAGTGGAGACTGATCCTGTGGATTAGGGAGTCCTATTGTACTTACTTGCTCCATGTAATCCGTATTTTGAAAGACACGCAGAGTGGGAGCACAGGTAGTTTGTATGTGCTATGTCAGAATTGTTTTGACATCTGTACAGAGTAGCTCCTAGAGCTGCATGCACTTCTGTTATTGAGAGCAGTGTTTCTCAAGGGATTGACATATTTAGAGTTTTACAAAATTAAAACTCTAGCAGCCTGCCCCCTTTGGTCACCGACTGATCTTTCACTGTTTTGCAACATTGTTCCAGATCCGTGGGTTTCCTACAATCAAAATCTTCCAGAAAGGAGAAAACCCTGTTGATTATGATGGTGGAAGAACAAAATCGGACATCGTTGCTCGTGCTCTGGACCTCTTCTCAGAGAATGCACCACCACCTGAACTCCTCGAGGTAGCTGATTGCCTCTGAGACATGAATTCTCTCCTGTCTCCTTTTTAAAATTTACAAGTGGCACCTTCAACAAAAAATTGCAGTATGGAGGCTTTCTGCAGAGGTGGCCCGGTGCCTGTGCCTTCTTGCACGATACCCTGCTCTGTTAGTCTTCTCCAGACATTGGCGTTCTAGGGTGACCAGTCCTCAGTGGGCTGTTCTGTTGCTTATTTACATTTCTTTTCTTCCCCAAACCTTAGGATCTTCCTGATAGCCTTTCTCTTATTTCTTAGTAGCCCATTTGACCACATGGTTAGTCATCAATACTCAGCAACTGAATTCACTGTACAATATGTACAATTTTTAGCTGAAGTGAGAATGCTGAACCTAAGCATTTTCATGAATCATGAATTGTCTCTGGATTTCTCTGAAGAGAGTAAGTCGTGGGATAGATCATTTCAGTGTTGCCTTCGTACATTTCACGTCTGTGGATACCTGCCCATCCCTTTATTGAATGCTGGCTGCCTGTCGGTAGGTCGCCTGTTGTCAACAAAGATTGGCTTTCAGTTTTTTTGCTGAAAGACTTTGAAAGAAGACTCTTCACAAGCCTGTTGGCTTGTTAGAAACCCATTTCAACAAATGTGTGTAGATGTTTCCTGAATGTGAATTCTGATTTCTCCAGCACCCCCTTAGCGGTTGGGCTTAAGGCGGTCCTAGACACTCATGACAGTAGTCAGGACCCCAACATCCAACTCTAAATATTTGTGTGGGTTGTAAAGCATTTGTTCTCCTCTATTTCTTAGATCATTAGTGAGGATGTTTTGAAGCAAACGTGTGATGCCCACCAGCTTTGCATCGTTTCGGTCTTGCCCCATATTCTTGACACAGGTAAACAAGTAGCAGCATTTTTTCCTCTGACTCTATGTTTCAATGCTGCCATCATCAACCTTGTCCCTTCATTCTGGTTTATTGAACAGGAGCCGCAGGGAGAAATTCCTACTTGGAGGTCATGTTGAAAATGGCAGACAAGTACAAAAAGAAGATGTGGGGGTGAGTGCAGGCTGTTTGGAAATACCTTAGAGAGAGAAAAATGCTCCCCTGGCCATGGTGCTTTTCTTAATGAATATTATACAGTAGCTGAAATCCAGTTGTGAGTCATGACTAGAGAAGGCCCATTGAACCAGTAGGGATATGGCGAGTCGACGCCTCCATAAGTTCCATGGATTCAGTGGGTGTCCTCTCACTGTGACTTATTACTGGATTTCCGCTGCTGTGTTGTGTGAAAGCATATGACCGTAATAAAAGTTCTTACAGACATGGAAACAGGAGTATAGTTACCATAGGCCACTACAGTGGTGCCTCGCAAGACGAGCACCCTGTTTAACGACGAAATTGCATCACGATGAACTTTTAAATGGGGTTTTATCCGGGCATTTGCGATGATCGGTTCCCTGCTTTGGGAACCGATTCTCGCAAAACGACGATTTTCGGCCAGCTGATCGGCGGTTCCAAAATGGCCACCGGGTTAAAAAAATGGCTCCCCGCTCTTTTCTGGGACGGATTCCTCGCTGCACGGGCAGTGAAAATGGCCGCAGTGTGGAGGATCTTTGCTGGATGGTGAATTTCAAGCCCATATAATCGGGTTTTAATGCGTTTCTTTTAGGCTTTTTAATTTTGCATTACAACATTTTCGTTCTACAGCGATTTCGCTGGAATGAATTAACGTCATAATGCGAGGCACCACTGTATAGGCTTCACACTAGTTTAGTTGTTACCTAGAAGCAAGGGGCTAGAATTGTGGTGTGTGAATTGTAAACTTCTGTGATGCTGTTACCTGTCTTCATCCCCAACTTACTGTTTTATGCATTTTGATGCGTACTCCTTGATTATAACAAATACAGCAAATGGCGTATTGGGGGTGTGTGGAATTCACCGGTGTTGATAGATTGAGGGAGATGCGAAGGCTTGGAAACTGATTTTTAAGAATGAAAATTGGAATGGATTTTCTTATATGTTTGCTGTGAGTTGTCCGTTCTGGCTCTTTTCCAAAGGTGGCTGTGGACAGAGGCTGGTGCCCAGTCTGATCTCGAAAACTCCTTGGGAATTGGAGGGTTTGGATATCCCGCCATGGCAGCAGTTAATGCCCGAAAGATGAAATTTGCACTCCTCAAAGGATCTTTCAGCGAGCAAGGGATAAACGAGTTCCTGAGGTAGAAGGATCTGATTTCGTATTTGCTACTTTGGCAGCACTGGAAGCAAATCCTTGTTGTTGTTTATTCTTCCATCCCTTGATTATAACAAATACAGCAAATGGCGTATTGGGGGTGTGTGGAATTCACCGGTGTTGATAGATTGAGGGAGATACGAAGGCTTGGAAACTGATTTTTAAGAATGAAAATTGGAATGGATTTTCTTATATGTTTGCTGTGAGTTGTCCGTTCTGGCTCTTTTCCAAAGGTGGCTGTGGACAGAGGCTGGTGCCCAGTCTGATCTCGAAAACTCCTTGGGAATTGGAGGGTTTGGATATCCCGCCATGGCAGCAGTTAATGCCCGAAAGATGAAATTTGCACTCCTCAAAGGATCTTTCAGCGAGCAAGGGATAAACGAGTTCCTGAGGTAGAAGGATCTCATTTTATATTTGCTACTTTGCCAGCACTGGAAGCGAATCCTTGTTGTTGTTGTTTATTCTTCCATCGTGTGAGGTCTTAGAGGCCTGACCTTGAATAGATACGGTTGTGGAAAACATTAAGTAACCTACTCCTTTGCTAGGGACAGCAGCCCAAAACAGTATTTTAATTATTATTACCGTTTAATGGGTTTTTAAAATGTCTAATTTGCTGTGTTTTTAGTTCTCCTTTATCTGGGGAAAGGTGCCCTATAAACAAGGCAGCCAGACAAACGAATGAGTCCTTCCCCTTGGACAGGAGAAGGCCTGATGATCTATCTGTCCAATCCATTGGGTTCTCGGGTCTTGGGCAGCCTGTCTGGCAGGAGGGCCTGCACATCGAAATAATGCATTGAATCTTCCTCTTTTAGGGAACTCTCTGTGGGTCGAGGATCCACAGCGCCCGTAGGAGGAGGGGCTTTCCCTAAGATTAACACAGTAGAGCCGTGGGATGGCAAAGATGGTGAGGTAAGAGGGTCCCGCCTTGATCTCTGCCCTTGTGTTTTATTTGGTTCAGGATTTCTTTTAGGGGCCTGTTGCACCTCTATGGTAAGGCTGCATGCCCTGGCTCTCTTGTTTGCCCCATGCTAAGCTTGCAACCTGCTTGTTCTGCGCTGTAGTGTTGTCGTATCTCCCTCTTTGTTTGGGCCTCTCTCGCAGACCTCTTCATCTTCTGTTCTGTGTGCACTAATTCAAATTACTCATCATGCCTTCAATACATTTCAGCATCTTACACTTCCTTGCTTGTCGTTTTGTGCTCAGTGGCCTTCTCTTTTCAAAATAATTTGCCATTCATTTGCAATTTTAGAGGGCGGCTTTTGACCATTTCCCTACCTTTGTTTGCATACATTTTAAGAATTAAGACCCAACAAAGCCTTGTTACAAAACACAGTTCAGAATACTGTATTTTTATAAATTATAATCAAAGGGTTACCTATAGTTGGAATTAGTTCTTTCTTTTCAATTATTAACACTATTGAGTGAAATAATGTAGCAAAAAGATGGAGGGACCTTGTACCAAAGCTGGTCAAAACTGAAGTCTCTATTTGTGGATGTTAATTAGTATGAGTGAAAACAGTAGTTTAGGTGCATCGCTCAGTTCTCGTTTGGGTGGGGATATCCACCAGTGTTGTAGCGTTGGACATCATTTGCAGTTCGGTATAAATTCTCTAGCGCATAAGCGCTTGATCAGCCATAAAGGCACCATAGAAAAATCACAACGCCATCTTCCGCTCAACAAGCCACCTGTGACAGTGCGGCACCGACTCACCCGTCTGTCTTTTTGTGGGTTGCCTGAACGGTCAAACGTCTAGTTGTTGTGGTTTGGCACCTTACCAAGGTGGCTCAGATAAGACGAGACAGGGATGACTGTGTTAGAAGAAACACATATTTCATTTCTGTTTCTGATTCACCTTTCATAGCTGCCAGTTGAAGAAGATATTGATCTCAGCGATGTCGATCTTGACGACTGGGATAAAGAGAAGGATGAATTGTGAGACCTTGAAGACGTTTTGTTTCTTGAGGGACTCTGGGCAGTGGTTTGACAGGACATTGCTTGACATTCTAAGGACGTGGCAGTCATCTTGTCGTTGAGAAAGGAGTCGGCTGTTGAGAATGCAGTCAATTGCGTGCCTCTCAAGAACAAAAGAGCCCAAAAATTCTATGAATTTTTTTTTGTATGGAGTAAAACTGATTGTATTCTGTGCAACAGATTATCTTGAGGGCAACACTGGTCTTTCACTGAAATACTCTTTTTATTTTGGCTTTTGTCCAGCTGGTATGTGGTGGTTGATGGTGACTTGAGACTTTTATTGTAACTAGTTTTGAAAATGTGGTCACTTTTCCCTTTCTGAAAGCGAGTTGCTCTAGCCTCCCATATCAATGAAAGAATAAAACCATATTTTTGACACACTGTGTCATTATTCTACCATATAAAGACTCCCATCTTTTGGTAATGCAGTGCAGCATTTCAATTACCATTTAGCAGTGAACACGAGTAACAGCAGGGAAGCTATTTCCTGTGGCACATCCCTTCTATATTCCTTTATGAGATGGGATTCCTCTGTCTCATCTTTTCCAAGGCCATCGGCTTCATGGAAGCAAGATGCTGCTTTATGGTACCTTGGGGGAGCATCTGGGGCCGATGTTCTCTGAGTGTGCAGTGTGATGTTGTCGCTCTGATCTGCATGTAAGCTCAACCAAGTAACTTAACTGAGAAGGTTCCTTGTGTATAGTATTCCTTTTACTCTAATGGGGTTTGCTCCTTTCCAGATCTAGAGATGTGTTTCCAGATTGCTTCTAAGGTTGTTTAGAAGAACATCTCTTCTGTTTTGGAGAGGATGTAGCAAAGTACACAGTATTCGATACTAAGCTAGAGCTCTCCTGCCATTGGGAATACAGAAATTCCGACAGAGAGGATTGGCTGGTTTTTCTATAGACAGCTACCTTTTACGGCAACTTTGGCCCTTCCAGATATTTTTGCATTTCAGTTTCCAGACACCATGGCCAGCAGCTGGGGATCCTGGGAGCTCAAGTCCAAAGCATCTGGAAGACCAAAGGTTGATAGTGACAGTTCTTATGGAGAACCACCTTGTCCAGCATCACCTTAGCCAATTCACTAACTACCACCACACATATTTTTGTAAGCTACCTTCTGAAAAGAGCTGTATGACATAGTTATGATCCACAACGTTGTGAGTTTCCATCCTATACCAACTAAAAATCAATACATTCTCCCAACCAGGGTTAAATGATGGCTTTTTAAAGAACAATTTTAAGAGAGGTACTTGAAATACACTGACTGGTCAGAATATGTTACATCCCCCCTCCAGCAAGCTGCCGAAATGGATTAGTCTACTCTTGGCCAAGTTCCACTCTTTTGGCAAGTGGACCCTGGAAGTCCACTTGTATCCATTTTTGTGACTATACAGTAATCTCAGTTTGGACTTCTCTCAAGGGGGAAACTGAAGCAGTTGAAGAGATTATGACAAACTGGTACTCTTTCCTCTAGTTGCATTCCAAATTATTCGACCCATGACTAATGGGAGCGTGTGCAGCTGCCGTGTAGACGAAACCTGTACATAAAACAATGACGGATCCATAACTTGAGACTACTCTTTACTTCAATCATCAGACATTTCTTGATTTTATTTAAAATTCTGGTTGGTAACTTTTGTAACTTACAAAAACATTAAAATAAATACCGCTGTAAAATGGTTGTCTTGTGAAGCATGGTTTCTAACATGATCAGGACAAGCTTCCAGAAATTTTTAACACGTAGAATAGAAGAGGGGCCAGCTGGGGAAATGCGACGAGGGAACCTCTGATGCTTCTCTTTTGCCCTCTTGCGTGAAAAGGTCTGCAACGCCTGAACCCACCCCCTCCTCACCCAATCTTGCAGTTCCTTAGTGCCGCATTTGACAAAGACAGCTTGGAAAGGAGGTGCTTGCATAGCAATTTCATTGTTCATGAACAATCAAACACTACACGGCAGAAAGACAAGGTGGTGATGTTCAGTCAGGCATCTCTTAGCTGCAGTCGAGAATGCTGAGGTCAATCTTGAAATAGACGTAAGGATAGTAGTCTTGACTGCTGAGCTGTAAACCAGGGATGTCCATAGATGCCTGGAAAAAGATTTTTAGAAACATACTATCACTTTCCAGTAGGTTTTACAACACAGCAGTAAGTGGCAAGTACGGTGGTGCCTCACTTAGCGATGTTAATCCGTTCCGGAAAAAACATCGCTGAGTGATTTAATCGCTAAGCGATAATAAAAAGCCCATAGGAACATATTAAAACGTGTTGAATATGTTCCTATGGGCTAAAAACTTACCTTAAAGCGAAATTCCTCCATAGCGGTGGCCATTTTGGGCGCCTCTAAAGCGAGGCAAAACAGCGGCAACCATTTTGTTTTTGCTGCGGCCATTTTGGAACCGCCAATCAGCTGTTTAAAAACGTTCGCTTTGCCATGATCGCTTCCCCACGATCATCGCAAAGCGAATTTTAGCCATAGGGGCCATCGCTAAGCGATCGCTCCAGCGATGGCCAAAAGTCCATCGCAAAGCGATTTCATCGCTCAACGGAGCGATCGCTAAGCGAGGCACCACTCTGTAGTGATTTCATTCAGTATAATAATTGAGAGGACTCTGTAAACTGGAGCCCGATTTATATGCTGCTTAATAGCTTGGCTACACCTAACCCCAAACAGCAGATCCCACCTATGCAGGCTGAGCCTCTTCCTTTTGGTGGGGTGGATGTTTTCCAGATCTTTGGTTGCAACTCTCTACCAGCTCCAGGCAGCAGAACCAAAGGTGGATGGTGGGAGCTGCAGCACAGCCTATGGAGGGCCGACATTTCACTTCCTCACTTTAGGTGAAACCGATTAGTGCCAATGGCTAGATAGCGCAGCACGTTTAGAGGTTGGGAGTTCGAACCCCCACAGTGCCTCCTATGAGTTGAGCCAGCCTGTATGGTCATGGGCAAGTGGCACAGTCCTAGAGTGTGCCTCCAGGAGAAAGGGAATGTGGTACATTGCTTCTGAGTATCATGTACCTAGAAACCCCTGAAAAGGATTGCCGTAAGACTCGACAGCACATTATTATTATCATTATTACCAATGCAAATGATAAGAATGTCTAAAATGTCCCTGACCCGCAGACCACACATTTTCCACAGATTCAGCACTAGAAGGGTGGTGTTACATTTTGGAAGTAGTTGACTGTGGAGAATCCACCAACTGAAGTAAAAGGATGGGCAGGACGGGCCAGTCACTGAGACACACACAGCTTCATCTCTTAAAGCGAGAGGTGCACCATCTCAGGTTGTGTTAATCCTGTTCAGGAGTGCTCAGTAAGCTTCTGACAAACACTTAAAACATTACTTCTCAACAGTTATTTAACTGTAGTTCAAACCTTCCACTCCTGTGGTTAGGTTGCCTTGTGGTATATACTTGGTTATCAATGTGACAAACCCAGACCTACTGGGATCTGCCACACGTTAACTAAGCTGCCACCAACCATTCCCTGTAAGAAGTCACACAGACCAGGGATGGATTTTTAACCAATAAAAGAATAAGGTTTATTTAAAACAACACACAGGAAAATAAAACGATCAGGTGAATAAGATATAGTAACGTGGCTTAGTCTCATTCATACATGCACACAGTTTGGTTCACACAGAACACTCAACTTGAAGCACAGACCCTGAACCTATCAGTTCTGGCTAACCAACAGACACCTGAACCTATCAGGTTGGTACTCTGACACACAGTAGTACCCTGTCTGACACACAGACTCCCACACCAGCTTCTTCTTCCCAGCTGCTGCTTCGTCACATCCCAGCGTCTCCCTCTCCACACAGGCTTCACCTATATATACAGTACAGCCCCTCCTCCTGATGTCCCGCCTTCCACTCCCCATAGGATGGAACTTTCCCTCCAAACCCATGACAGACAGGTAACATCAGTGCTGTATGTAACAGTCAGCCTTTGAGAAAACCATCTGGCTGCTACAAGCTTCTGGCCTGTGATTTTTTAAAAGGCCCCTGTGTTTTTCCTCTCATCAGTCTCAACACCCACAACAGCATGAGGCACAGAGCACAAGCCGCCACTACTATAACTTAATATGCCTCTTCCGTCCAATAATGTTACACCCTGTAATCATAAAAGAAACTAAAAGTTGCATCACAAAGGGAGTGACGTTACTCTTCACCTCGAGTTATGGTTGTAATATAACTTCGTTTTGCTTTTGTTATTGGGAGGGTGGGGAATTCCACAAAACCAGTTACTTGTAACTAGTTATTTCCATCGTCTGGAAAAACCTAAGGGAAGCTGTTCTCTGACTCTTATCACTTTAGGTTTTCTGAAGCAAGCTGAGCTGATGGGCCATAGAAAACAGGTTCCCCAGAGGTAGTCAACTGTTTATGGTATATCACTTCATCGCTCACATTGAGTAAGGTACAAGATTTTAAATGCCACATTAAGATGAGCTGATTGATCTGGCTCTGTTGGAAGTACAAACTCCAGTCCCGTTTTGCAACCATCAGCTGTGCGATTCCAAATTTCCAAACTTAAAAGGGCTATGAAACATATTTTTAAAATATATAAGACAGATTTTAGGTTATCAATCTTTGTGTTCCTTTAGCTTCTGGGTCTATAAGGAGGCTGGACAGATTTTAAAAATGCCATCTTGATTGAACAGGGAATACTTACATCCATTATGCTTGCTGCTGCAACTTCATCCAGATGTTTGAAGACCGCATTAAGGACCTCCCTCAACTTCTTTGGAGATTTCTTGTTGGGCTGAAGTAGCATTGCCTGGAAATTTACTGGCAGGCCATACCTTTTTTAAATTCAAAGAAAGAGGGTAAGCAGTCAACAAGCACAGATGTGGCGCCATTCAATGTAAAATGCTGCTTGTTTCAATGGTCTGCATCTACTTTATTTGTCCCGCTGCTTCCGAAACAAGGTTCCTATTTCAGTGCAGAACATTCTCATTTACACCTTGACGTTTAAGGTGCATCAGATGGGGGTCCTTTTCCTTTTATTGACAAGAATGCCCAGTTTGCTAAACTGTCATCTGGTTAAGTACTATCTCAAATATTTTCCAACGAAATCCGTGAGATCTTGGAAGCATTCAGCTTGGCCTGTTCTGTTGATTTAAGACAAATTGATCAAAAAATGCATCCACCCACTTACCTGAGGACAGACTCGGAGAAAACTCTAAGAGCCTTGATGTGAATCCAAGCCACAAACGCTTCACTGAAGTTCACTTTCAACCAGCGCAGCAGTGGGCCCTTGGACAAGGGGGAAAAAAAAGGACATAATGCCATAATGCCATATTATTCTTTGGGCACAGGGACTTCAGAAATAGCTGTGTAAGACATGCATAAGATGTTTCCTTCTGCTGGGAATAAATCTGCTGACATCTGGTTTAAGGATTCCCATGTGCCATCAATACAACTGCCCATGAGTGCTGTTCTCCCCCCCCCCACGCACACACACACACAAGAATAAGATTGGCTCAAGCATTAGGCTGAAAGTGGGTAGAATGTGAAGAACTACTTAAAAGGTAAGTTGGTTAATTACGGATGGTACTGTGTGTGTTCTGTGCCATCAAGTTCGAACTGACTTATTGCAACCCTAACAGGGCTTTCAAGGAAAGTGAGATATTTAAGGGGTGATTTTACCAATTCCACAAGGGACATGGTGGTGCTGCGGGTTAAACGGCTGAAGCCTCTGTGCTGCAAGGTCAGAAGACCTGCAGTCGTAAGAGTGAGCCCCTGTCACTTATCCCAGCTCCCGCCAACTTAGCGGTTCGAAGGCATGCAAAATGCAAAAATGTGAATAGATAAATAGGTACCACCTCGGTGGGAAGGTAAACGGCGTTCCATGTCTAGTCACCCTGGCCAAATGACCACAGAGATTGTCTGCGGACAAACGCTAGCTCTATGGGTTGGAAACGGAGATGAGCACCGCCCCCTAGAATCAAACACGACTGGACAAATTGTCAAGGGGAACTTTACCTTTTTTGCCAATTCCACACACCCCAGTAAGTTTTCATGGCCAAATGGAGATTTGAACCCAGGTCTCCAAAGTCCTAATCTGTCACTCTATCCACTATACCACCTTGGGAATCCCGCTAATGTTACTGAACTTCCATAATTCCGGACCCTTGGCCATGTTGCCTGGGACTTCTGGGGTCAGTAGCCCAACAATGGATGGAGACTCAGGGCTGAGAGCTGTGGGTTTTTTAATTTTTGATTTAAGTTTCCCCCCACCACAGCAGGTGCTATTACGTTTGTCTGCCTAAGCCTTGAGGGCTGGAGAGACTCAGGAGTCTCTCTGGCCCCCTTGCAAAAGTTTCTCCTTTGCTCCAGCTGAAAGCATCAGTGTCTTCTTATACTGTACAACCTCCAAATCTCAATGGAGAGATAGTATGTTCTCTCCATTCCCACTTGTTTGGGATATTCTTATTTTTAAAGAACATGGGGTATGGTTATATTTTGCAGCAGTGCTGGAAAAGAGGAGAGCGGAGGGACTTATAAAAAACCAAATACTGTAAACTGTAGAGGGAGCAGAGGAGAACGTCCGTCCGCTGCACCGGAGAGCAGGCTAGCATTGTGGCAGCTTGAGTTTCACAGATTTTCTACGGGCTTTTACAATACACTGTGTTACACTGGAGCAACATTCAGCCTTTTCAGAGAAACATGCAGTAAAGCAGGCAAAGTAAACTTGCCACAGAGAAAGAAGAGGGAGGAGGCAGCTCCTTTTGTCAGTGATGCTGCAGCCACGAGACAACAGATAAAAATGTTCTGCACCGCACTCAAGGTAGGAACTAGCTGAGGGGTGGAATCTGAGCACCGCTCTTAGGGAAAGTGATGTCAAAACAGTTTGGTGAATAGCCACTGTTAACACCGCAATTATCCCTGTCAAATACATTCTCAGTTTAATTTCCTTCGATCTCATGGTCTACAGTTCCACCCCCAACTATGTGTCCCATCTATACACGTGAAATACTGCATGACTAGCAGTGGATGAAGCAGGCTCATGCTGTATCTACCAGTTCATCTCTAAAAGTGCCACAGTTTGTTGTTTTAACCATACTACAGTACTTGCAACCTCACTTTTTTTTAAAGAAAAAAACCCAACTCTCATAGTTGGTAAGAGACCACTGGTAATGGCGCAGCTAAAAAAATTTAAGTAAGTAAGTAAGTAAGTAAGTAAGTAAGTAAGTAAGTAAGAAGTAAATAAATAAATAAATAAATAAATAAATAAATAAATAAATGGTGAAAAGCTCTTTGGGGTATTAATTTGATCTGGCTGGCATCCCTAATCAAATGGAGAGTATTATGGTCTTGGGCTACAATTTTGTGTCTCGCTTTCCACCAGTAGTCCTGTGGTTGCCGGCCTTCGGCTGAGGACAAAATAGACAGCACTCTCAGGAGATTAGGCAAACGGTTCGCAAAATGACACTCACATACTGTTGCTTCTTATCAGAAGCTAACTTCTTCATTTCTTCCTTTTCACATCTCAGCTCTTTTTCATCAAAAAGGAATTCCCGCACCATGAACCTTTAAAAGCAAACAAAACGGTGTTAATTTTCTGGCACTGTGCCTTATTAAACTTGTACGCTCAGAATGCTGTTGCCTGGTCTCTCTACACTGTCCGTAAACTTTAAAAAAAGACTCTGAGTATGAGTAGATGAGGGAATTTGGAGCGATCTGGGTCGTGTTTTAAAGGCTCTTAACTTCAATGTCATCTAATTTATCTCACACTTGAGCGATCCTTCCATTTACATGGGAGACGTTTCTTCTCCCTCTGGAAAGATCCACACAGCACTTCAGATCGCTCCAATCTCTCCCCTTTTCAATTACTGATGCCTCCTCCCTCACCCCTTTCCCCACCTTTTGTCACAGCTGTTATTCCACAAGTTGTGGCAACTTCCTTTTTTGTTGTTGTTTAATTTAGGAAGTGGCATAGCACTACAGCAATACATCAACCTAGCACAGATACTCCCTTATATCTGAAATAGTCCTGCGTCACTTAGGAGAATGTTAAAAAAAAAAAAGGAAGAAGATTAAAAAAAGAAGTCAGGCAAAAAGAAAAAAATAAAGAAGAGAAAAACATGGCAGCTTAAAGACCAACTGCTACATTTTAATGTGAGCTTTCATGGACCAAGTCCACTTCTTCCAGGATAAGATTTCTCTGCCATCCTTTCTACTGTCACAACCCACTGCATACATCACAGGGCTGTCACCCAAGTGAATGCTGCCCACAGCTCCATTTGGGAACAAATTAAATAACCTCCACAGACTGTAGAAGGGGATAATCAAGAGCACTCTCAATCGCTCCAAATAAAACAGAAGCCCAAGTGCAGTGGTGCCTCGCCCTTGCTTAACAATGTTAATTCGTTCCAGCGAAATCGCTGTAGAGCGAAAACGTAAAGCGAAATTAAAAAGCCAATTGAAACGCATTGAAAACCCCTCAATGCGTCCCAATGGGCTGAAAACTCACCGTCCAGCGAAGATCCTCCATAAGGGCAGCCATTTTTGCTGCCTGTAAAGCAAGGAATCCGTCCAAAAACACAGCGGGGAGCCATTTTAAGTAGCCGGTGGCCATTTTGAAACCCGACAGGCAGCTATTTTTGATTGTCGTAAAGCGAAAATCGGTTCCCGAAGCAGGGAACCGATCATCGTTAAATGAAAAAAACCCATTTAAAACATTGTTTTGCGATCGCAAAAGCGATCACAAAATCCTAATCGTCAAGTGATTTTGTCACAGCGGGGCAATCGTTAAGCGAGGCACCACTGTACTGTGTCTGAAAGGAACAGGACAGCTCACAAAAGTGGTGGGATGGATTGCTCTTACTTGAAACACGAGTTGGTGGAAAATAGGGTGAACCAAGCCAAAAGCAAACCAAATAGCGCGCTCTATGCTCGTCTGATAACCGCCTACCTAAAAAAACTTTGTCAGGAAGCAAAGACAAGCCATGACAGTACAGCAGCTCCCAAGAATCTAACTTAAAAGTTTATAAGGAGCTCTTTCAGGCATGATATACCCATAGATCAATAGTGCTAAGGCAACTGACTTATTAGGTTCAGAGACAGGGTCAACACAATGAACATCTGATTGTGTAATGTATCTATCCCAACTTTCTCTCATAGCAGTGGGGATTTTAATATGAAAGCTCATTGTGACTTGGCTGAGTTGAAGACAGTAGCTTCAACCCAGCTGAAACGCACAGTGACTTAAGTTACAATCCTGAATACAATTCACAACTGATCCACTTCCAAGTAGCCACAACATAGGATTATTCCAGACAGCTGAAAACAGGGAAGTTCAAATGAGTTGTAATTAAAATGTACAGCCTCATGCAAAATTTGGTTAGTAAATTGCTTAGGAGACCTTTTATATAAAGTAGGGTTAAAATGCTCAATGTAAGTATACCTTAGAAACACCACATTGTGTTAATTTGTTGGGGTGGGTTGTTTTCACTGACAAGGGAGAATAATATAGCATTTTGCTTTTAACTTAATGAGACCGAGATCAGCTGAAGAAATTTGAAATAAGAAACAACAAGTTCTTACTAGTTACTATGTATCCTTCTTCTGCCCTTGTCACCAATCAGTGATTGGAAGTAAGGAGCTATTTGCAGCCCAAGAAGGTTTTACACAGAACAGACCTATGTTTTTAATGCTTGTACTTACAATCAACATGTATTAATTTTTCTACCCCTGAGCATTAATGATAACAAAGTAAATTACTGAGTTCAGTAATATCATGAATTAAATGCTCTTCACTTTTTCTGATACTAACATTGCAAGTTCTCAATTTAAGTGTAAAAGAATTCAGGAGCACTGATGTAATTATATACATAAGACATTCCTAGGTTCCATTTAACAGGGTAACTAGGGGCTTCCTAAGTTGTTCCCATTTCTTTCTGGAATGCAAACAGGAAAAAAAAAACTGTACTTGTTCTCCCTTGCTTTGGCTTTAAAATCATCCATCACTTTTCGGAAGAGGGTTACAGTGAAAAGTCCCCCCTCTGCATCTTCGGCAATCATCCTGTAGAAATAAAATGCATGTAATTAATGTTGATTCCTTTTCAATAAAAAATTCCTTCCTTTCCACATTAGATGCAAAAAGCAGTCAACAACATTTAATATCTGCTGGATAGCTCAGTGGTTTAGGCATGGCGTTCAATCCCCCACTCGGACTCCTTGACAGGTTGGGCTCAGAGATCCACACGGTCCCTCCCAGCTCCACAGTTCTAAGATGATGATGATGATGATAACTATTTTTTTTAAATCGAATAATGATCAGAGGCTCCACAGTTCTAAGATGATGATGATGATAACTATTTTTTTTTAATCGAATAATGATCAGAACTGACATCTGCTGAGCCAGCTTCCTTCTTCTAATTAGCCTAATTAGGATAAGCTATAAACAGTGTTATATGATAATGCATGTTATATGATTACATGCCAGTTTCAGCTTTCATTCCTCCATTCCTGACTACCTATACTTCTCCTCTTACTAGATTAACAAGAAAATACTTCAGGCTGTTGAAAGAACATCATAAAACTTAGCACCAAATACAAAACAAACCCACCAAAAAAAAAACACACCACTAACTGCTGTCTCCCTCTCCCTTTTGGGCCTAGTCCAAAACATGTTCCTGTTTGGAGCAAGCTAGATGCTCCTGCCCTCCCTCCACCACGTTCTCTCTACAGAAATGTGCTTTGAGCCACTGAGGCAACAGGACAGCCTCCCTCACTGTCCATGAGCGGAGGGCACTGCTGCAGACCACCGCTGTGATTCCCGCCCTTGGGTGACCCAGGTGTCCTTGGACTGCAACTCCCAGAAACCCCAGTCAGCACAGCTGGTGGCAAAGGCTTCTGGGAACTGGCATCCAAGAACACCCGGGTTACCCAAGGGCAGGACCCCCTGAACCATAGGAGGCACCTGCTCATTGCCCAGAGAAAAGATCATGGCCCCCCGTGAGGAACTCCGGAGGAACAGTTGGGGGCATGGCCACCATGGCTCCCCATGATCTGTGTGAACAGAAGGGCTTGCTTGTTGCACTTCTTCTTCTTGAAGTTAACAGAGACTGCGTTGGTCAGGAATCAACAACTCAAGTCTTTCTCTTTCTTCAGGAGTCCCGTTACGCTGATGGTGGCCTGAGGCAAAAGAGGGAAGTGACCCTGCGGCTCTAGGAGTCATAAGCGAGACGTTCAGCTGAGGCAGGATAAGCTACCCAGGAAACTACAGGTTAAGTGCACCCTGCAGATGCCATATACTGCTTAGTTCCCTTTTTTGTCTTGCCTTTCTTTTAGGGAGCTGAGGACAGACAACAAACAACGCTCTCTCCCCACTATAGTCTCACAACAACCTTGTGACCGGCCAAAGGTCACCAGGTAAGCCCAATGGCTCCCCAGCAACCTAAACAGGATCTCCTGGGCTCCTGTCTAATCACTACAACACACCACGTTTAAAGTAAGAATGAAAACTGACACCATTTACACCTCCCGACATGCACAGTTCTTCAAAATTCCTAAAGAGACAGGGTCCCCGTCTTCCACACCACTGCTCTGCTCTACCCTTCCCGGCAAGCCTTCCTGTTTACCCCCTGCCTTCCATATGTCATAGCATTCAGGTCAAGAAGACACCAAGGTGAGAAACTTCAGATCCCATTAAGGAAATCTCCACAGCAAGACGTACAGACGAGACAAGACAGCTCCTAAATGCCTCTCCTCGTTCCATATATTAATTTGAATTCTAATATAAGGCTCAACGTTTCCATTGGCCGCTAGGGCACTTTAGGGCTCTTGACGCTCTGCCTCACAGACATAGAGGAATCTATAGATGGAGGCTAATAAGCAGAGGTCATCCATGGTAACCATGAAAGAGAACAACGCTCGAGACAAAATTTATCAGAAAAACGCAAGTCTGGAGACCTTGCTTACTTTGTAGAACGGGGAACGACCATGTCAGAGAGTGATTCGTACGTTTTCTGCCACTGTACGTAACTTGACCTGTTACAAGGAAGATGAAAGATTCATTGGCACAGAAAAACTGGGTTTTTGTACATCTGCTGGTCTCCTTACACAACTCTGTTTGAATCTTTAACACCATACCAGTAAATTCCAAGTTGATAAATAGCAAGATAGCTGCCGTCCAGGATTTGAACCTGCTAGGTGCATGCTTCTTACCAGGCTTGCCATATTATTATGACCTGGAAAGATTGCAGTGAACTCCTACATTTGCAGTTGTATTTCCCATTACTGCACAGCAAAGCCCTAACAGGCAGGGCTGACCCTCCCACTAAACACAGTGAGTTGGCCTTCTCAAGCTGTAGAGAGCCATGAACTCAGGAATTCGCTTCTCCCCTTCGGAGGGCCCTTGCCTGTCTGTGGATCCACACTGCTGTGCCCTGCTCTCCAGAGCCAGCCAGTTCCCAAATGCCAGTTCCTCAGAACCAGGGCAGGAATTTGAGGGTGGCTGTTTAATGCCTGGCTCAGTGCTCTCCTCCGTCTCAGGAGCCAGGCCTTTGGGAAATGGCCAGCTCAAAACAGAGTCTTCCCAGCCTCTGCTGATGGGCAAGAGGTGGGAGCGGCACCCTTCATCCCCTGAGGTTTTTCTTCTTACTTGGGAACTACAACAAGCAAAGTGATGAGATATTCAGAATTCAACACAAAGTCTTCTTTGTTCACAATATCTGTTAACGTGCGTGTCAAAAGATTCCCCCTAAAAGAAAAAAGAAAAAAGGCTGGCATTAGGTAATGGCGGTGATACTTCTTCTATTTGTAAAAATGGCCCCACTTGGACCAGTAAGAGCAGATAAGCTACTGGCTTAATGGGGGTGTCTGCCTTTCAGGGCCCCAATTCTCCCACTAAAACAAGCCTGCATTAACCTGATGGGATGGGGGGGAGGAAATTATTGCCTTACCGCAATTCACTGAAAACTTAGATTTACACCTGCTCTTCAACCTTTCTATGTTAAACATTTCGAAACACATAAATTATATTCTGCTTTCTCACCATCAGATCCATTAATGCCCTGGTCACATGAAACAACCTTTCTATGTTAAACATTTCGAAACAGGCCTGATCAGATCCATTAATGCCCTGGTCACAAGAAAGAAATGTTCTCTAGTTCTTCCGACACTTTCCATACCTCTGTTGTACTGAATCGTGGCCATGCAATTTATATCCCAGGATGAAAATCCAAAGAACTTTTAACAATAGCAATTTATTTTCTCCTATTTGAATCATTAGGGCCGGCGACACCAGTTTATTTTATCTCTTGCTTCAAGGGTAAATTTAGCCCCTTTATTTATTTATTTTTAAAATAATATTTATTGACACATCAACATATTAGAAACAAGGTTTCCTTTAAGGGGCGTGACTGCCTTGTGTGCTTGACTCTGCCCCCCCCCCAAGACAGCTTTCCTCCTTCCCTATGCACCCACATCATTTCCAGCCCCTTTCGTTCTGGTCACAATGGAACCCCACCTGGAGGGGGGGAGGAAGCCTCAATGGACTTGGGAGAACCAAGAAGCAGTACACTCACTCACTCACTCACTCATTAATATTTGCATGCTGCAGTAATAGTGCCCACCTTCTGGGCTTCTCGTTCTGAAATGAAGCTGCGCAGGTCGTGCACACAGGCAACGCCAGTGAGGAATGCACAGGTACAACAAAGGTACAAAATAACAAAATCCTCCCGGTGATGAGGAAATGTCCTGCAGTTACACAGCAGGCCAAGAAAATATCTTCATCTTGTCTCTGCGTTGTGTGACCAGAAGAAAAGGAAAAAAGCAATGGACTAACTGGGGGATAACTAGAGAGCTTTCCCCTCATGTGACCTGAATCATCATTACCTACTTGGCTGTTCTCCAGTACAGTGGTCCCCAACCTTTTGGGACCATGGACCGGCTGGTGCACTCTGAGGAAGATGGGGCACACACACCCCCACGCTCATGTGGGTGCACTCTCAGGCGCATGCGCGAAGGAGTGAGGGGGTTACAAGTGCCGTCATGATCACTCCCCCACCCCTTCGCGCATGCACAGGAGCACCTGCACACCTGCCCACCCCTTCACATGGGTGCTCGGGCCCATGCGTGAAGGGGTGAGGGAGCGCTCACGCCAGCGCTGGCACGCGTGCGTGTACACAAAGCAGCTGTGGGGAGGGAGGTGCAGGAGGGGTGGGAGGCCTGTCTCCGCAGTCTGGTCTGGCTCAAGCCATGGTTGATGACCTCTGCTCCAGTATACTTAGCGTATGAGCCCACGGTCAAGTATTCTAATACTTATACGAATGCTGCCGACGAGTACTTAATGTAAACGTAATATATGCATACACATTTTTTCTTTCCAGATTCTGGAGGTTTCCTTTGATGCTGTTGTAGACAGCCGCTCGACTTTTCAAGTCCGTTTCTATTTGTGTGATTTGCTAAATACAGAAGAGAAAAAGCCAATTAGGGACGCTACAAGTAATTACAGTTAGCAGTTTTATATAGTACCACAAATGCAGAGAATCTACAATGAATGCGAATTGGATTGCTTGGTCTCTCAGAGACCTTGGAGCCAAACATGTTGTGAGGTTAACTTTATCTTCGCATTTAACATAAAGGCATTCACAAAATGTATATAGAGAGAATTTCCAGGCCCTTGTTCAGAGCAGACATTTTCCTACAGGATCCCAGCAGGGGAAGAAAAGCTCAAATGCCTATTTTCCAGCTGCTGTGATCACAATAATAATAATAATAATAATAATAATAATAATAATAATAATAATAATAATAATAATAATAATAATAATAATAATAATAATAATAATAATAATAATAATAATAATAATAATAATAATAATAATAATAATAATAATAATAATAATAATAATAATAATAATAATAATAATAATAATAATAATAATAATAATAATAATAATAATAATAAAAACCCACCATCCATAGTTATATATATATTTTTTAAAAAGTATGCATATTAAATGCAAATAGACAAAACTTATGCCAGAACTGCAATGCCAATATGCTCAACACTGCATTCAGATTCTGGGGGACATGTATGCTGCTTTATGCCTGGGATTACTGTTTGATTTGGTGTTTTTGGCACTCTGTTACATTAGCTTACTTTGATATGAAATGCAGAACCTTTCAGTACATATAGGATTGGATCCAGACTTAGTCAAGCTTAGAGGAGTCCCACAGAAATCACTGGGAGCGATGCTGCCCATGGCTACCTTAGGTGCTTGCTATCTGTGGGGGTCCTTGAAGCAGGAGTACCTCTTGACCCAACCCATAACGCCCTTCTGTTCCCATGAAAAGAACACACAGAGGATCTTAGGGTCTCTAATATGAAAATGACAGCACTGTATGGCGAGTCCTGAGAACAAGCTTTTGTGCGTGTTTCTATAAAAAGCGAAGGAGAGAGAGAGAGAGAGAGTAGTAGTAGTTAGAAATGGCCAAAGGCGAGAGAGAGAGAGAGAGAGGGGAGGAGGAGTTAGAAAGGGCCAAAAGTGATGCTACCTTTGCTAACGCTTCTGAAATATTCTTCAGTGGCTGTTTTATAGGATACTTAGCCATGTCCCATTCAAACCTCGTCAGGTAACTAATCAGGTCAACTGAAAAGACATAAGTAAATCCAGTAAGCAGTGCATCTAAAATCAATAAACAACTTTAATAGCCATTATTCTACAGGCACGGCCTAAACCATTATAATAGCTTGCATCCAGTTTTGCACCTATCTTAAGTCAGTGAATTCTACCATTGATCTACAGTGGTTCCCAGCCTTGGGTCCCCAGATGTTCTTGGACTAAAATTCCCCAGAAGACTTCACTACCAGCTATGCTGACCAGGATTTCTGGGAGTTGTAGTCCAAGGACATCTGGGGATCCAAGGCTGGAAACCACTGGTCTATGTGAAGTGTCAAGGAATACTTCCTTTTCGTCTCCTGGGTCTCCCACCATTCCCACCATTTGTTAGATAAAGTCTATATACTCCTTATGTTCCTGAGAAGTACCTGGGTCTTCAAACTGGAAAGATCAGGTGGAAGGTCTAATTCTTTGAAGTCACTCATCAAAAACATGTACCTACCTGGTCAGCTCCCATCTTCATTTAATAACCTCAAATGCATGATTATATTAGATATGACATTAAACATTCAGCTGCTCCTGAAATGGAACTTGCAAGTCTAATTTCTCCCTCCCTCCCACTGTAAAGTTGAGAAGAACTCACCCCACATCACAACAACACAGTAACCCAAATTTTCTGCCTTCTGGTGCTGGCGGCCAATGATTGAAAGAGGCGGTAAGACAAAAAAAATGTTGTGACATCCTAGCACAATGTAACATCTGCTAAATGCTACAGAGGTAGGAGGCGAGGTCACCAAACTTTTTGTGTGTATGCATCAGCAGCAGCTCTGTGTTTCCTGTCATATCTAGTTTGGCCCTCTGTGAAGAGGTCTCTAATTTACCCGTCATTATTAAAGGGCAAGACAAATTGATCACAAGAATACAGATGTGGGGAAGAAGTTTCACAACCAAACAGTCCCTGCACCATCTTGTTAGGCATGCAAGGTTGTTAGAAGGAAAGGGGGAGGGGAGGAAGCTGGGAGAAACAGAGGAGGCCCAGTTGCTGTTATCTGAGTCATAGGGAGATGGTGATCAAGCTACGAGGTTGTTACTAGAGAAATCCATCGTAACCTGATCACTGTACCCCTACAGCCAGATGTAGGCTTAACACTATCACTGAACACAACAGCGCATGCTTGCACACAACTGTCACCAGTACTCAGATCTGTCATTAAACACAACAGGGCATGCTGGCAAAAACACAATTTTCACCCATACTTGACATACTCTTTAGACATTTCACTTTTTTCTTCGCCCCTGAAATATAATAAGTGTGATTATTACACTTGTAAAAGACACTCCATTTAAAAATGAAGCTTATTGCATACAACTGCTTTGTTCTTTCCTTTTCTCTCCCCCTTAGCATTTCAGCACAAAATTAAAAGCAGTTTTCTGCCAATCAGCAATAGAAAGTGTTCAAATTGTCAAGAACTGACGATTAGGACACTGGAGGAGCCAGAGAGGAGATGTTCCTAGATCCTATTCAAAAAGCTAGAATCCCATCTTGGGCCAGTTCTAAGTTTTAGATGGCCCCGGGTGACATGTAGTTTGGTAAATCCCATCTGTTTCAGTGGGTCCTTGCTGGACTTCGAGCAGCGCCAAGCAGCTGGTGGGTCTGGTCACATGTTGAATGTCCCTAATCACCAGATAATGGCAAGTCAGGGGCACTGTGGGAAATTCATTGATTTATAGGGTCATTGCATAACTGTGACAATAAGAACTATAAGCAACTATCCTTAGCTGCCTCGGGTTGACAGTGTTCCTGATATGGCTTCAAACAGGGTCTGGAATGGGGCCTCTCATTTTCTTCTCCCCCCTCAAACAAAAAAAAAAAACAAACAAGACAGCTACCAGAAATAAAATGTTATTCCACGTAAGTGGGAGTATTTGGTTTTCTTCTAGAATAGCCTTCTCTAAACTGTTTTTCCCCAGAAATATTGAGCAGAGACCCTGTTTCACTATCACCACCTAAATCCCCATCCGTCATGGCCACTGGCCATGTTGCCTAGGGAACTGTGAAGGTTGTGGCAAAAGAAGGCGGCGGCTGCACAGGAATGTCTCTCTCTGCTTCCTCTACATTCTGTGGGATCACCGTCCAGCAGGGATGTTGGTAAGTCTTCGAACCCAAGTCCAAAGTCCAAGGCGGAGTCTTTGGTCCCAAGCCTCAGGACTTGAGTCCAAGACCCCTTGGGTCTTGGATGGAGGCCAGGTGGGGACAGGCGCAGAGGCAGCAGGGCTGGCTTCCCTTTCTGGAGCCAGCCCCTGCCTCTGCACATGCTCAGAGGCAATAGGGCTTGGCTTCTGGCACTCCCACCCCCCGCCTAGCAGCTGCTGGTGCCGCACGCCGTTGTCCTCAGAAGCAGCAGGGCTCGGCCTTTCCTTCCAGGCACCATCCATGCAGTCCAGAAACAAAGGTGGAGACCCTGTTTCCATGTCTTACTTTGGACCGCTTCACATTTCAAGGAAAACTGAACAGCAACCACAGTTACTGGCCCCACAGCTCCTGTACATAAACCAGGGATGTTGGTACCAAGTCCTGCGTCCCAAGCCTCAAGGCCAGGTCCCTATTAAAAATAACCTTTCCCACCCACCCCAGAAAAAAAGGGAGGGGTGGATGAGTTCCAAATTTCAAGTCAAGTCCGAGTCATTAAAAATTTTTTTTAAAAAAAGCCCAAGCTGAGTCCAAGTCTAGTCCCTGGTGTGTCTTAAAGTCTGTCTTGACAGCGAGTCCCATGACTTGAGTCCTCGTTTCTGACATAAACATGAACCAAATTGACATAAGAAGATGCCATTCATTTCCTGTTATACCATCTTCCAAACCTTGTACCAAAACCAGCATGTGGCTCTAAGATAAATTGTCTGCTTAAGCCACTCTTCCTGTTTTCCAAAGCTACCAACTGCTAGATACAAAATAAGCAGCACAAAGGAAGTAAATACAGTGTGATCAATCCTTGTTTATGTGTTTGCGCCTTTAGGAAAGACTCCATGACCAGTGAGAGTCGGTGTGGTGTAGCAGACAGCGCAGCAGAACTAGGTCTCAGCAGCCCGAAGTTCAAATCCTTGCTCAAGGTCACTGCAGGGTGGCAACAATAAAAACCACTCCTTGAACGTCTCCTATACCTCAAAAACCCCTTTAGGGTCACCATCAATTCGAAGCAGCTTGGCAGCACAAAAAGAAGAACATAACTGGCCATGTGGTCAGAGAAGCGGACAGTCCCTTCTGGGGATCTGAGACTGATGTGACAGAATCACAAGCTTTTTCATCACACAAGAAAGGAGGAAGAAAGTCAAACAGCTCAAAGGCGGCAAGACGTCTGTTCCACAAAGCCACAGAAAACAGAAGCTGACTCTTGTCTGGAAGCGCTTTTCTAAAAAGGGGAGGCACTGCCCAGTTTCACAAGATGTGTGTGCATTATTCACCCCAGCTGTTTTGTCTGGAAAATGGATGACAAGCAGAAAAGCAACAAATGCACACAACACTTCAAGCAAACCCCAGGTTTGTTGGCACTTGCACCTACCGCCATTTGCCAGAAGGTTTTCCTGAACTTTATCTTTTGAGTCTTCCAAAACTTCTCCAATATACTGGGCAATCTTCTTTATGACACTAAGTAACATGTAAAGAAGGGTTGCAGAAAATTATAATAAAGCCTTAAAATTACATTGTTGTTTTTACTGTAAGCTGCCTAGAGTGGTCTAATATGATCAGATAGGCGGGATAGAAATAAAATAAATAAATAAATAAATAAAATAAATAATCAGTTATGAAAATCAGAGATGAACTTGCAGCAAATATTTAAAGGAAAAAATCCTTCTTAAGCATCACCAGGCTCAAAAACAGGTGCAGTTTGTTTTTTACTTATTCTTACTGTTGGAGAGAGCTGATCAAAAGAGGGGGGGGGAACAAGAATAGGTTTGGCTTTTGAAATCAGTATCTCTTGTCATGGGGAAAGCACCCATAGATTTTTCAATTAATAAGGACTCTTCCACATAAAGCATTTGCCTCCTGCCCTCTTATTTGCCCCTTGTTGCCAGAGAAACACACATTCGCTGAGATTTCTATCCAAATGTCTCTTTAAAGATCCACTTCTCTTCCTTCTAAGAAATGGGCTTCTCTTAAGAGATCTTTAAGAAATCTTTGAACAAAAAGCAAAGGAATCCCCTTTTCTGCTGTAACTGTTTTGCTGGTTTTTTCGCTGCTAACTAAACTTTGGATCCCATCTGCATGAACTTCGAAGGAGGCGTGCCATGGTCGTAAGCTCTACCTGCGGCACAAAGCAATAATAAATAATAAACCAAGTTTTCAGAAGAGGCGAAAAAAGAGCAGAAAGTCACAGAAAAAAAAACACTTGACTAACTGGGACAGAAGCAACTGCACCTGGATGGCAGGGAAAAGATCAATAACATCAGTTCAGAATGCATAAATTTAACCAGAACATATGTGCATCTGAAGAGTTCGCACTTCTACCCCAAAGTCTATTAAGCAGTGAAGCATGGAGGAAGAAGAGAATGTTTTCATATATGGGCAGAGCTGTAACGGAGACAGGGCTGGCTGGGTCTGTCTGATTAGCAGGGATCAAGATGGCATGGGGGCATGGCCCTCTGGTTCCCACACTCCCTCTAAAATCAGCTGCAGTCTTTAGAATAGCTGGGGGTCGGGTGGGGTATATTTGCCGGGAATAATATATTAATATATGCTAACTGTCCCTGATGTAAGGTAACATATATGGGGAGTGGTTTGATCTGGACTGGACAATTAAAACCCCTTTGCTTTACAAAAGACCTGTTCCTGGAGGTGTCTACCTTTTTTTTTTATTTCCTGTGAGGGTTTGCAGTGGGGACTGTCAAGACAAGCATTTTTTTTTTTACTTTAGAGTTAAACACATTACTGTATTGCTAGAATAGAATGCTTTGTCTCCGATGCATTTTTGGTATCAGCTGGCAGCACAAAGTTCCAAATAGACTAGTCCTAGGACGAGCTGGAATTTTTAGCATGTATACATTACTGGAACAGCGATGTCTACGTTGGCTTGGGCACGTCGTGAGAATGGCTGATGGTCGGATTCCAAAAGGTCTCCTGCATGGAGAATTAGTGCAAGGAAATCGCCCCAGAGGGGCGATACAAGGATATCTGCAAGCGGGATATGAAGGCTTTAGGAAAGGACCTCAAGAGATGGGAAACCTTGACATCTGAGTGTTCAGTCTGGAGGCAGGCAGTTCATCATGGCCTCTCCCAATTTGAAGAGACCTTTGTCCAGCAGGCCGAGGCAAAGAGGCAGTCCTGAAAGCAGCAAAATCAGGGAGCTGGACAGGGGACAGATTGGATTTGTCTTCAGTGTGGAAGAGATTGTCACTCTTGAACTGGCCTCCTCAACCACACTAGACGCTGTTTTGAGTGCTCTATTCAGAGCACGATACCATAGTCTCTCGAGACTGAAGGATGCCTACATGCAGAATAGGATGCAACCACTGCTGCCTTTTCCTTCCTTCAGTTTATACCTCCTCTTTCTCCTAATAAAGGGAGACCAAAGTGGCCCTTCCAGATATGTTAAAGGAGTGTTCAGAGTGTCAAGTGAAGTTTCTACTCAATTTTCCACAGCGCAGAAAAGTACAGTGGTGCCCCACTTGACAATTACCCCAGTAGACGACGAAATCACTTCACAATGAGGTGTTTCAATGGGGAAAATCCGCTTCCCAACGATTGGTTCCCTGCTTCAGGAACCGATTTTTCGCTTCCCGATGATCAAAAACAGCTGATCGTCAGGTTTTCAAAATGGCCGCCTGCTGTTTTCTGGACCTATTTCTGGAAGACAGCGATCAAAAATGGCTTCCCCTATGGAGGATCTTTGGCTTTCGATGAGGTATTTTGCCCATTGGAATGCATTGAACCGGTTTTAATGCATTTCAATGGGTTTTTTTTTTCGCTTGATGACAATATCGCTTAACAATGATTTTAATGGAACGGATTAATGTCGTCAAGCGGGGCACCACTGTAACATCTTTGGAGTACAACTCCCAGAATCCCCCAACTGTCATAGTCCCAAAAAAGGGAACTTCTCTAAAGTCTGAGCACAATAAAGGAAGTTCAAAGGGGCCGACTTCTGAATGGACGGGCATAGGACTTCTCCGTTTGTTTCACTTTTGCAGACTTTCACGGTAGATAGATAACCAAGGTCTTTAATCTACAACTTGTCACCTCTGTCTGTAATTTTAACACAGCGACACAAAAGAACCATGCCACCTGAGAAGGGAACAAACGAACAAGGACCAGGCAGAAAGCCTCAGAGCACCGCATGCTGTTTTATAGTGACATGGAAAAAGACTCCCTGTGTAAATAAGTAATAAAAGTACATGGAAACAACAGGCCCTGAAAACGCTTGCCCCTTCTCTATTGTCCCAGCCAAGGGCAGCCCAGACGGGTTTCTGCTGCCTTGGTAAGGTTACCAGCGTGCTTCGGATGTGCTGGCCTACTAACAGCTCTGCCCAAAGAATGTTTCTGGAAATCGAAAATGCCAACGCCTAGCTTCTCTGCGTGACGTCTGACCAATCACCTCTCCCGTAAGCTTAGGCCCTGAGGCAGCCCCCACACCATCTGCTTTGCCTTTAGGGGAGGGGTTTTAGATGACGGCTGCTATGGAGGACGTGAAGTTCCTGGTTCAAATCTCAAGGGAGACACCAAGAGCCCAAACCTGTGCCAGCTTTCCCGGGAACAAGGAAGAACAGGGTTGCTCCCGAGACTGTCTGCCTTGGATTGTAGCAATCCTAAATATGTTTACTAAGGATCATGCCTCCCTGAGCAGCTTGTGACTTACTTCTACGTAAACATGTAATGAACCCTGCTGTAAGTCACTGCAGAGCGACTACATTTCCGTGGCAGAGTATGCCGTTCGTGCCCAGACATTCCCAGGTTCAGGGCCAAGCAACTCCACAATATAAAACATAAGGTGGCAGGTGACGTAACTGACCTTCCTCTGAAACCCTAAAAGGCCATGGACAATATGAATAAACAGTACTGTAGTGGGCTTAATGGACCAGTAGTCAGAAATGCCTCAGGATGCCTTCACAGGGGAAGCTAAAAAAAGTGTGAAAAAGCTACTGTTTTGGAAAAGCAATTCTCAAGACTCCACCACCTCAACAGCTTGGATCGTGGAGGATTAGGGGGAGCTGCTTTTAAAATGGAAGGGAAAACAGCTTTTCCAGGCTCTACAGGCGACTTCTAAACTGCTATCATTCCAACTACTTTGCAAGTATCCTGAAATTTGTAGATAATATTAGTGCTATATGGTACAGCTCTTGCAACAATACATATACAGTCGTGCCCCACTGGATGATTACCCCGCTCTACAATGAATCCGCTTTACATTTTTGCGATCGCAAAACGATGTTTTAAATGGAGTTTTTTCGCTGTGTGATGATCGGTTCCCTGCTTCGGGAACTGATTTTCGCTTTATGACGATCAGCAAACAGCTGATCATCGGGTTTTAAAATGGCCGCCGGATGAAGAAAATGGCCCCCCACTGTTTTCTAGGATGGATTCCTCGCTTTACAGGCACCGAAAATAGCCACCGTATGGAGGATCTTCGCTGGACGAGCAGGTATTCAGCCCATTGGAACACATTGAACCGTTTTCAATGTGTTTCAATGTGTTTTTTTATTTCATTTGACGATGTTTTTGCTCTACAGCGATTTCACTGGAACGAATTAACGTCAAGCGAGGTACCACTGTACATATATATACTTAAAGTATTCATTCATTCATTCATTCATTCATTCTATAAACTTCCCCATTAGTGCAAGTACTACCCTGGCCAGTTTAGACGGAATTAAAACTTACAACCCCCAAACCCCACAATTACCAGAAAAATGCATTCAAAAATATGGAGATCCTGAAGGTTTCTGGTATTTTTGCACTCACTGGATAGAACATGCAGGATCTAGGCCTTCTTTGGGGCAAGCCTTCTTCAAGCAAAATCAAACCAAAACCTGCCCATCAGGGCTGAATTCAAGGGTTAGGTTTAAGCAAGACCAAGTTAGGTCAATACAGGAACTCTGTGTCCTGTAAACACAATGCCCAGTTGCTGTTTGTGTGTAGTAAATAAGGTCTATTTTACCTTTCAGCAAAGATATCAAGTTTCCCCAGCTCATCTGAAAGGCCAACAAGAGCATCCAGCGTCCCCACCTGCAGAAAGGAGAACATATAGGTCAACTGCAGAGCACATTTCCCCAGAATTTCGTTTGTCAAGCAAGATTTTCCGGGCTATGAAATTACCAAAGACATTCATGGAAAAGCTGAGGGGACTTTGGGAGATGGATGAAACATGAAATAGGCTCTCACAAAGAATCTAGTCTAAGTAAAGAAAGAATCACAGTTCTCGTGATTACAGACCGCTATGGATGTCTCTTGAAAAAAATGTAGTTCCTTAATACACACGTTTACAAAACATATGGTTGCTCATTGCATGAATGATCTAAGAACGGTCCTGAGCAACTAAAGTTAATTCACGTTCTGCTACCGCAGTGGTTCCCAACCTTGGGTCCCCAGATGTTCTTGGACTAAAGCTCCCAGAAGCCTTCACCACTAGCTGTGCTGGCCAGGATTTCTGGGAGTTGTAGTCCAAGAACATCTGGGACCCAAGGTTGCAAACCACTGGGCTACCATATTCAGTGGGAATTACCTTACAAGTGGTGCCTCGCAAGACAAGGTTAATGCATTCCGCAGAAATCGCTGTCAAGCGAAATCATTGTTAAGCGAAACACGTTTTTCCATAGAAAAGCATTGAAAACCGGATAATCCATTCCAATGGGAGATTGTCATCGTAAAGCGAAAATTGCCATAGGAAACATCATTAAGCGAAACTCGTTTCCCATGCGAAGACAGACGTCTAACGAAACAGCGACCATTTAAAAACCTATTTAGCGAAGCAAACCCGAGCTGTCAAAAACATCATAAACCACAAAACAGGGACCTAAAATTTAATCGTCTTGCGAGGCAAGTCCCTAACATCGTAAAGCAAAATCGGCCATAGGAAACAACGTTAAACGGAGTGCAAGATCGCTCCGAAAACCTCATCGTAAAGCGAATTCGTAGTTATGTGAAGCAATCGTCTTGCGAGGCACCACTGTAATATAATGAGAGAGGAGGAGCCAAATAGCTGTTCTCTAGAGTTTCTGGCTACAAACACAGACATTCTTACACAGCAGCATTTCTGTCATAGCCACATGCATATGACACCATTGCTTCTTACTGAAAGTAGGATGGTTAGTAAGATAAAGGGAAGCACAGATGGAAAAAAAAACTTGAGTGAACTGGCAGCAAACTGACACTGAACAATGAAATCAGAATTCTCCTTCAAAGAACATAAGCTTCCTTATAAAAGGAAGTGAATTACGATTTAAGGACTTTTTGGGATGCATTTCAGAGTTTCAACCAATTTAACTTTTTTAAGAAGTGGAAAGTTTTGAGAATCCTTAAAACACAAGCGAGCAAGACTTTTTTCTCTCTCTCTCAGCAAACCCTTCACACAAACAAACAGGAGCAAACCTGCTTCTCCAGTAGTGATTCAAAGATGGAAGGAAAAGAGATGGCTTAGGAAAAAAGCAGGCACTCGACAGCAGCCTGGTCCCTTTCGAAAGCTTAACAATTCAGACTTTGGCCTCAGTGGTGTTAATTTCACACAGAAGGTAAATCAAGTAAGGCTAGAATCCTGAACACCAGTCTGCCCGAGCCTGTGCTCTCCAGATGTTTTGGATCAACTCTGCATAATTCCTGATTCTTGGCCATGCTAAGTCTGGGCTGATGAAAGTCGTAGACTAAAACATTTGGAAGATTCCAGGCTGGAAAAGGCTTCTATGCACACATAACAAGTCCTGCTCAGGTGAACTTGCAACATTCATTCATTCATTCATTTATTCATTCATTCATTTAAATTTAATTTATATGGCGCCCACACTACCCAAATGTGTCTGGGCAGCTTACAACAATTAAAATACAATACAATTTAGAACAATTAAAATACAATTAAAATATATATAACAATTGCCATTGGACATGAGGCCCAGAGACTGAAATGCTGCTGTTAGTCCCTACACGCACACAAAGATTTTTAATTTTTTTTAAGATTTGGGGTTCAGAAAGCCCCCCTGTGCCCTCTAGGATGTACGGATGATGTTTTTGCCACAAAGTCCAGTTTTTTAATTTGACCACTGAAAAGTTCCAGAAAACTTTTTCAGTCAAAACAAAACAAAGCTTTTTTGAACTGGGAGCCAGCTGTTACCCTCCAAGGTTCAGGGAAGGACACGTGTGCCCATCAGACCTCTACAGCCTGTCCACCGCTGTTCTAACTAAATATGTCCAGAACTGAGCCGTAAAAAATCTGACACAGAACAATACTATATACGTCTATTCAGAGATAAGATACACTGAGTTCAAAAGGATTTAGTTCCAAATATGCACACACAATTGCTTGGCAGTAACTGCAAGTTAATTAATTAGGAAATCTGACCAGAAAACATTGTCCATAAACTATTTAATTCATTTCAAAAAAGCATTAAAAGTTTTCTACAGTTCTGCCAGAAATCAAGTTAAAAACCTAGAGTCCTAATTTCATTCTTGTTGGCAAGACATATCAACGAGAAAGCAAACCGTATATGCTGCTCAGATGAATATTGGACCATTTATATAGTCATGTCATTACTGTAGTAGATATGGTGCGCATCATCTCCCTACCCCCTCCATGCCACTGCTATTTTGGTTCCCCCCACTTCTCCCAGCTTTCAGTTCAGCTTTACCTTGAGATCAGGAATGATGAATTTGCTGTTGGTGGACAGGTTGGCTTTGGAAGTCACTGTGTTCATTCTGTCCCAGGCCAGCATATTTGCTTTATCCCCTGGTGCCGAAATTAACCAGAATTCTGACATGATGCAAATGTTCCCCTTCACTCCAAATCACTGTACAGTAGGTAAAAGAAAAAACAAATGGGGAGAGAAACCCCCAACATTAGAGAAGGAAAGCCCTTTCCATTTTAATGTTGTTGTTGTTGTTTTACAGAAACAGTGCAAATATTTCAGTTTATGGAGAAAGATCTTGATCACCTTTCCATCCAGCCCTTGAAAGAAATCTGACCTTGTTTTTGCTCAATGTCACCAAAAGACAGCAGCCGTTGTTCCTTTTCTTCCTGCCGTGGGTTGTTTCATCTGGTCCGTGGGGAGGAGCTGGCCGTCACGAGGTCATGGGTGCCTGGAGCAAACCACAACGTTTGCAAAATCACCAACAGATCGGAATAAAACTGATACAAAACTCCAATCTTACACCTGTTTACTTGCCAATGAGACCCCCTGAACATAGTAGGATTTCTGTAGAGGACTGTTGTTGACTCCAGGCTAAGGAAATCTTTTTCCCCCCTCAGGATAAACAAATATTACCTACTCAAAAAGAACACCAAGAGGTGGGACTTGATTAGATTTTTCAATAGAGGTCAGGGCTTCTTTGTACATTTACAACATCAGGATACATTTTTTAAAAGCCAATTTACGCAACTTCTCTGTGAAAATTGCTATTGGGCCTCTTGCCCTGTACTATTAGTCAATCTGAAGACAATAAACTAGAGAAAACTAGGACCTGTAGCGGCTTTAAATGGTTGTTTGAGTACCGTAAAAAAAGTTATCATTAAATATATCTTTAAACATGTACAGTAACATACAAACAAGTTAGAGAAGAAAATGTGGGGCAGTGCATTTGTTGATCCAATAAATTCAAAGCCACCTTTCTCTTTCGACCTGAAACCTTTAGACAAGCTGTCATCTCAACAACCTTATTCCCAATAAAATAAGGGGTCTTGGGTGACGCCTTGAAAGCTCACATTTTCCAGAACACTTCAATTTTTCTTGTTTTGGGTTTTGTTTTGTTTTTTTGCAGTCCACAGTTGAGTCCAGATTATTTTTTTGTTGTAGTCAACACAGATGACTAGTAATGATTCTGAGTTGTGACCACACCCTGCACACACTTACCTGGGAGCAAGTCTTATTAAGCTTAACGGGACATACAGTATATACAAGTAGACATGAGGAGGACCGTTCAATAAGTGAAGGACAGCTCTCTGTGTCTCCACAAATCAACCAAGAGTTTCCAATCAGTCCCTTTCCATCTCTCACAGAAGTCCCAAACTCATTTACTTGACAAAGAGCACCTCACTCCAAGAGTTTAGGTCTAAAACCTGGATGAAGAATTTCTAGGACAGCATCCTGACTCTCTCATACACTTCCTGAGCAGTGTCTCACAGGCTAATCTCAGCTGCCCAAATACAAAATGGGTATGATAACACTCCATGGGCTTGTGTTTCATTGTACTTGTTATAAATATTTCTATCCCAATAATACCCAAGAGGACTGGTGACAAGGTCAATAGCAACAAAAGTTCATATTTAAAGGTTCCATATAAATGCTTTCCCAAATACAAAATGGGGATTATTATCATACTCATCTTCTATTTACAAAACTGTATGAATGGTAACAGTAACAGCAGCAACACAAATTCATATTTGATCATCATTGTCATGATCTTAGAACGGCAGAGCTGGAAAAGATGGGTGTGGATGATTTGAGTCGAGCCCTTGTCCAGGAAGCACAGGTCAGAAATCGAACTCCCAACCTCTGGCTCTGGAACAGCTCTTTTAGACGTGGTGTTGAAATTAGGCCTCTGTGTGTGTGTGTGTGAGAGAGAGAGAGAGACAGAGATTTCAAACCCCAGGGGTGTGTGTGTGTGTGTGTGTGTGTGTGTGTGTGTGTCTGTCTGTCTTTATTCCATCTTCACACGTTGCCACCAGCTCCCTAGCTGGAAACACAGACTATTGTTAGGAAGAAAGAAGGCTCCAATTATTTAGCCCCATTCTTGGGAGGAAATGACCCCTGAATTCAGTGGAATTCACTTCCAAGAAAATATCTCTGATACCCGACTGTACGCAAATGTGCATCACAGGGCATGGAAATCAAAGGCGTTGTTATGGGAGGGGGGGCAGGGTTTTCTCCCATTACAATGGGCATAGAATGGGACACCTCGCTTATTGGTATAGAAGGTTGTCGTAAGAAATGGGCCAGAAGTACGGAGGTGTTTCACCTAATCATTTGATTTACCAAAGAGTGACAATGGTGCCGGCAAACACCCCCGCCGCGCGCGCCAAAAGCGGCCCTCTTTGCAGGCTATTCGCTGTCCTTTACGTTCTGTCCCTTAAAACCACTGGCAAAAATTCGACGTCCGCATGTTCTCGAAGTTTTGCTCAAAGATTTCTGTGGGAAACCCCCCCCCAAAAAAAAGCTTGCGAGCACCCAAAGCAACCCAACGTGGCACTCTAGAAATTACATTAATGATGCTTTTGAATTGAAAACAACAACACCTCACACTTAATGCCAATTTCTGGGAGTCAGGAAGAGTCCTGTCCGCCGCTTAAAACTGTTCTCGGAAAGGAAAGGAAAGGAAGCGCGGGGCCAAAGGGGCAGCCAAACGTTTCGCTCCTGTCCAGGCGCGTTCTTTTGAAGCCGGAGTACTTGTTGGCCCTTGGGGGCATTCGAACCCGCGTCCTGGGTTACAAGGCTCCTGCCGCCACCCCACCTCTGCCTCCTCCGGCACGTCGGTGCGCGGCAGCACCTTCCAGACCAGCGCCTTCAGCCGCGGCTGCCTCGGCTCCGGTCTACGACAAACGTCGCCAGCCTTCGGGGCACCACAAGGCGCTTGGTCCCGCCGCCGCCGCCTGACACGGCCATTCCTCGGGAGGAGGCTGGAGCCCGTCTCCCTCCCCGGGGCCCGCCTTCCGAGGGGGCGCAGCGCAGACCCCTCCCGTCGGTTCGGTCCCTTCCCTTCCCCTCCCCTGGAGACTGGCCGGCCGGGAGCCTCTCTCACCTGCAGTCCAGGATCGGCCCCTTCCTTGCACCGCCGTTGCCGCCACCCCAGGATCGGCCCCTTCCTTGCACCGCCGCCACCTCTTCCTCCTCTTCCTCCTCCTCGTCGTCGTCTTGGCCGCTGGAGGGGCAGGATCGGTGGCCGGAGCTACCGGGGGCTCAGAGCCTGGGCGGCTACAGGTGGGGCCGTTTCCGCGCTCTGCATTATGCGCGACTGAAGAGCTGCCGCGGCTTGCCTCCCACTAGGCGGTACTGCCCGAAAGCTCCTCCTCCTCCACTGCTCCCCTCGCCCTGAGGGCCTCCTCCTCCCCCGTAAACTGCACCGATCCGTGGGATGGGCCGTCGGAGGGGGGGGCGCTTGCCACGGATTAGCTGCTTCCTCGCCGGCTGTGTCCCATCGTGGGGTTTCTTGGGGATGAGGACTGACACCCCCCCTCTCTCTCACACACACACACGAGTTGAGCTCATAGGTGTTGGGGGGGTGGGACAACGCTGTAGGGTGGGTGACTCAATAATAACCCCCCCCTTTACCTATGTAACGGTGGGAGGCCAGGCACAAGGGAGCGGTTGCCATGCTCCTCGTTGTGAGGTTTGTAATACCCTTGGAGTATTTTTCATATTCTGGCACTGGGTTTTGTTTTTTTTTAAGTATGGAATTGGACCCAAAATGTGCAGCATGTGGGGGGAATTGTAGTTGGAACTTGATGAGTGTAGATTTGGAGAAACAGAGAAGAAATTAGACAGGCTGTGTAAAAAGTCTTTAGAGTTAGTCTGAACAACAGGCAGGTGTCCTGTGTAGAAGAATGTCAGACTCCAAGTGCACATTTTGGGTCCAGGTGCAGGCTAAAGGCCTTCTCCCCACAAGCCCTGGTCTGGGAATAAATCTCACAGATTTAGGACTTGGTTCTGAGTGAACACAAGTAGGTTTGCCCTGTTCAGGGCAGGAAATCGTCAGAGCCCAGCTATTCAGATTCACTGGCCAGAATCTTATTTGCCACTTTTTGTGATCTCCTTCACCAGGCATACATTGGCAACATAATTCTGCCTACTGTGCAGTGGGGTGACTGGGTCCATGGTTGAGCTGACAATTTCATCACATTTTTTTTCAAATGGAAAGAAAAAATTATCTATCACTCAAAGGTGGGGCTCACAATTGATGGTTGTATCAAAGCTTTATTTTCTTCTCCCTTTTTGATTCCCCTGCCCCTTCCATTGGTAAATCAAGTGGCAATGAGCTGTCTCCATAATTCCCTCTAGTTAGTGTCGTTCCAGGGCATTGTGATGTTGGTAGTAAGGAAGCAGAGTCCCTTTGGCAAATGGTAGGGATATTGTCGAAAGAACTGTTCAGGATTCCCAGTGTGGTGTAGTGGATAGAGCAGTGGTCTCCAAACTTTTGAGTTTGAGGGCCACATTGTATATTTTTCACATTTTTGAGGGCCAAAGGTATGTGCATGGATGTCCACCATCCAGCACCCCTATCTGCCCACATGCATGGGCTGAAGGGGATAGGCTGGATAAAATGGCAAGGTGGGCAGGATGTGGCCCACAGGCCATAGTTTGAAGACCCCTGGGATAGAGTGAAGGACTAGGAACCTGGAGCACAGGGTTCAAATCCCCACTCAGCCATGGAAGCTTACTGGGGGAGTGGAACTGGTCAAATCACTCCTTAAATATCTCACCTACCTTGAAAACCCTGTTAGGGTTGCTATATGTCAGTTCGGACGTGATGGCACAGAACACAAGGTGTCGCAGTGTGTAGGGTATGGTATTGTTGGTGGCAGGTAAGCAGACTCCCCCGCCCCAATTGGTAGGGATATTTTGGAAATAACTACTCAATGTAGTGTTATTTTGATAGGGAAGCAAGAAATAAGGGAGGAAGAAAATCAAAATACCAGAAAAAAAGTCTTCAGAGAAATTTTGATTCGACAGTTGTTCTTCTTCAGTGTTTAGCGCCTTCTTCAGAACTTCTAAATGTTACACTTCCAGGCATCATTGCAGATGCACCTGGTTTGTAACACCAGATCTTCTTTGTAAGTCCTGTGGCAGGTTTGAGTGAGGGCAGCAATATATTTGGCTCTGGGGAAAATCTGACACTAGTACTTGCACAATTTGTCACCTGATTTCCCAAAAAAGGAGTCTTAACAGTTTAAATTTTATTTTCAGGACGCTTCAGATTATTATTAATTTTGGGGCTGTATTTTTTTTGAGCTTAGTAATAATACAGTATCAGTGAGCTAACTGCTGGATGGTGGTGCTGGAGGAGGCTCTTGAGAGTCCCCTGGACTGCAAGGAGAACAAACCTATCCATTCTAAAGGAAATCAAACCTGAGTGCTCACTGGAAGGACAGATCTTGAAGCTGAGGCTCCAATACTTTGGCCATCTCATGAGAAGAGAGGACTCCCTGGAAAAGACCCTGATGTTAGGAAAGTGTGACAGCAAGAGGAGAAGGGGACGACAGAGGATGAGATGATTGGACAGTGCCATCGAAGCAACCAAGATGAATTTGACCCAACTCCGGGAGGCAGTGGAAGATAGGAGGGCCTGGCGTGCTCTGGTCCATGGGGTAACGAAGAGTTGGACACGACTTAACGACTAAACAACAACTGCTGGATCGCTCAGTGGTTTATATCTCTGGTGGGAGTTCGATTCCCCACTGGGCCTCTGAAAAGAGCTGGCCTTGATCATCCAGAGGGTCTATTCCGGTTCTGCAGTTCAAACAAGGCAGCAAAGGGCGCTGCTGTTCTTCCTTTTTGGCCTTATTCCTCTCTTACTTATCCTGCATCTTCCATGTTGGCTATGCTTCTTAAGTTAAGTTTCAACTCCCTAAAACATCTTCTGTACGTTTCCTCATTTAAGTTTAAGGTATTTAATATGGCTGTTTTGACAACCGTGTAATTCCCCGCATCTTCTGGGTCTAACGTGTCTACGATTTCCTGTGGTAGACCTGTCAGATAGGGAGTTAATATCAATGCCCATTGTTCCTGTGGCCACTAAGCCGACGTAGCCACTCTTTCAGATGTGTGTAGAAAAGCCGCAGGATCATCTTGTGGACCCATCTTCTGTAACTTAATCGGCGGTCGTGTCGCTATAGGCATCTTGGGAGTAGTAGAATCATTGTTGGCTGTCGTGGTGACCCTCATCGTTTGTAGTTGCTCTATTATTAAACGTTGTTGGTCTGCCAGGTGCTTCAGCAACACCCGTTGTCCTTCTGTTATTTTACGGATCCACTTATCCGTGTCAGTAGGTCGTTGGGGAAGCCCCCCGCTTTGGGCACCAATATGTGAAGGGTCGTTTGGTTGGGCTTCCCTTTTCTTTAATAAAACACCATCAGACGGTTTGTCAAATAACTTGTTGTCGTTTATTACTTCACCCAACGGGGTTTCAACCATAACATGTTTGTTTAAACTAGTATCTTGTTCGAGCAACGGCTCTCGCAAGGGCAACCAAAGGCTTTCTTCTGTGATGTTTACCAAACCCTGGTCCTATGGACCGGCACAAACTTGCCCCTGACCCTCAGTTCCCAAACCATGCTCAGTTGGACTTAGAAGCGTGAGGTTCTCTTCGTCTCCCATCCTTCCCCAGGACGGGTCTCCCTCTCTTGGCAAGCCACCCCAAGGTCCAGGAAGCACCCCATCTTCCTCAGTTCTAAATGCCATGTCTGACGAGCCTCTTTTTCTCTAGCAATGGCTTCTTTCTCTTCCCTGATTCTCCGCCTCCATTCACGAGTCTCGGACTCACCCCAATACGATGGGTTTTGGGGCAAGCCTTTCTTCCTTCGATTCTCTGCTTCAGCTTTAGGTACCCGGACTTGTTCCCATTTTTCCGTCCACGGATCCTGCATCCATATCCATTCCCAATCTCCTGGGATGTCACGTTCTGCTCTGATCTCTCCCAGCCCCCCTTCCTCCACCACCTCATGAATCTTCTCCTTTCCTGCCAATTCTTCCTTAAAAGGATTAGTTATTTTTAACCCTCTCAATCCTTCTTCTAGATCTCGGGTGTCCACCACCTTTGTTGACACCCCTTTCCCCTGTAGATTTTCCTCCTCTGGGTATCTGAGCCTTGATCTCTCTTACGGCCTAGGGTAGTCAGTGGACTAGTCTGAGTTTGTTTGGAGGTCTTTATGAGAGACGGCTCCACCAGAAAAACCCGGAAATTCTGGTCTTTCCCTTCACAAGGAGTTGTTTTTTCAAAACTAAAACCTCAGCATTCGGGACAAGTAGGTTTGCCCTGTTCAGGGCAGGAAATCGTCAGAGCCCAGCTATTCAGATTCACTGGCCAGAATCTTATTTGACACTTTTTGTGATCTCCTTCACCAGGCATACATTGGCAACATAATTCTGCCTACTGTGCAGTGGGGTGACTGGGTCCATGGTTGAGCTGACAATTTCATCACATTTTTTTTCAAATGGAAAGAAAAAATTATCTATCACTCAAAGGTGGGGCTCACAATTGATGGTTGTATCAAAGCTTTATTTTCTTCTCCCTTTTTGATTCCCCTGCCCCTTCCATTGGTAAATCAAGTGGCAATGAGCTGTCTCCATAATTCCCTCTAGTTAGTGTCGTTCCAGGGCATTGTGGTGTTGGTAGTAAGGAAGCAGAGTCCCTTTGGCAAATGGTAGAGATATTGTTGAAATAACTGTTCAAGATTCCCAGTGTGGTGTAGTGCACTGGTTCTTAACCTTGGGTTACTCAGGAGTTTTGGACTGCAACTCCCAGAAGCCTTCACCACCAACTGTGCTGGCTGGGGTTTCTGGGAGTTGCAGTTCAAAAGCATCCGAGTAACAAAGGTTAAGAACCACTGGTGTAGTGGATAGAGCAGTGGTCTCCAAACTTTTGAGCTTGAGGGCCACATTGTATATTTTTTCACTTTTTTGAGGGCCAAAGGTATGTGCACACGTATGCATAGATGTTCACCAGCCTGCACCCCTACCTGCCCACATGCATGGGGTGAAGGGGATAGGCTGGATAAAATGGCAAGGTGGGCAGGATGTGGCCCACAGGCCATAGTTTGAAGACCCTTGGGATAGAGTGAAGGAGTAGGAACCT